CCCAATTACCTTGTGACAGCGCACAACTTGAAAGCCATGTTACAATAATACATGTGAGTTTCTAGTGTCTGAGGAGCTCTTTAGGTGTAGTCTATATTGTGAAGAGGATTAAAATACATCTGACAGAAAGCTCAGCATGCATTACTTTCGACAGGTAAATATGTACTTAGCACGCCCAATAGCATAGGCTCTGACTGTGCTTTTCTTTGTCCTGACTGAAGTCTGTGCTGAGACACCACCTGCCACTTAGTTGTTCCACCATTACATCTGCTGCCAGCAGACGATGGCACCTGTCCTGCCACGGCCCTGCGTGGAATCTGTCCTTTACTGAACCCCATCTTGTATGGTGCGTCGTACAGGGAAGCCCTGTTTACATGTTGCTGCAGTACAAGCAATAGAAATTGTCTTTGTTCGTCTGCTTTGTAGTTTTGATCCTTTATTTTATTGAACGTGTCTTGTTTTATTCATGCTAAGTATCATACAGCACCCCATTGCCTTGACATCTTAAAAGTGCTTAAGCAAAAACGCCATTCACTTCTGGGAGTAGGATACGTTTAAGGGGGGAAGAAAAGGCTGAGTGGTTTGTATCTTTTACTTTCCTTACTGCAGATAAAAGTCAAACTTCCCCTTTCTGGTGTTTCTTTCAAGAGGAACTCCCAGGTTGCCTCAGGGTAGATAGGCACTGTGACATTTATTGGTTTTTTGTGACATGGTGGTGAAATCACCTGACCCTCATCTGCCATAGAGCTCACCCTATAGATACCAATGATAGCCATACCCAATGTGACCATTCCTGAAAAAGTGGCACTTGCGTTTGTAGTGTAGACCAGACCTTTGTATATTCAGTCTTATTCACAAGCCCCTTCCTTCTGCTCTCTAAACTCAGATATGAGCCTTTGGGCTTGATGGGCTGTACTGGAAGTTAAGTGACAGGTTTTAAAGGATACTTCAGGCATACTTAGTTAAAATTCATCTTATTTTGAAAAGCCAAATAAAAGTTGCTTCCTATGAAAGGAAGTGGGGCATACTTCAGGTTGTGAAAGCCATATAAAGACAACAGAGCTGTTGTTCCAAGTCAGATTTGACAAGAACTAGTAAAATGCGTAAGCTTGGACTTTAATAGCTCTCAGCACTAGTGAGACTGATGTAAGAAGCTTGCTTTTTAAGCAGTTGTAGTGTGTGCAGCAATGCTGATTTTTGCTGTGCTTGTATGGCAGAAGCCATGGGAAAAATAACCTCCCAATGGCACCTTTCCTGTAGGAGAGGACCTGCATACACATAGTGCTTGCACGCACATAATAGGAAGTGGCCCTATTCTTTAATTTGTGTCACTTAATTACACAACCAATTTGTTTTCTCCTCATGATAAGGTTTTTAAATTAAACGTTCAAACATAGAAGAATGCTTCTATTTAAGGCACTGAGATAAAATGTATTGAATATCCTACACATAACAGCTCATCCCCAGCACGACAACCTGGCTAAGCCCTGTCATCTGTAAATAGGACTCTTACTGCTTAACATCAAAGCCCCCACAGTGAATTCCAGTCTCAGAGCCATCATAATCCTTTCATGTGTTTTTTTTTTTTTTTTTTTTTCCAGGTTATACCAGCTTGACAAGCATTGCCAGACCACTGCTCAGCAGCTAGTGGAGTTACTCAATAAACAGAATCAGCTTTTCAAAGAGAGGCAGATGCTTACAGAAGAGGTGCAGATCCTGCGTACACAGGGATCAGGCCAATACCAGGAACAAGCGAAAAGAAAGTCATAGGGAAATATTCCTCAGCCATCCAGAAAGGTAAAGTCATTAGCACAGGCTTGTTTCAAGCTGGTTTTCCTTCCTGAGACATTAGCTTCAGAGAACAGAAATAGCTCCATTTGATTGAGGGCGACTGGCAGTTGTACCCAAGCCCTGATTAAACCTCCACTAAATCAAGAAAATGCTAAGAGGTATATGAAAGCAGAAATAATTATTGTTAGCAATTCCAAGCTGATCTTTGCTTTGTCCATCTTGCAAAAAGACAGTGGGCATTACAATATCCCTTGTTTAACAGCATTCACATTTAAGCATGAACACAGAGTTGTGCTGTCCTGCCATTAAGTCCACCTGAGATCTGACCTGCCATTAAGTCCACTGGCTACGTTCTGTGGTTTTGCCACCTCATTTTTAAACATTTTGGTCTCCCTTGTTGCTGTGAAAATCTGCAAAAAGAGGCAGTGCTGACAGGCTAACTGTACAGAGGTAGCAATGAACTCTGAAGTCAGTGGATGTCCATGCAACCAGGGAAGTGCTTGATAGCAAAAGAAGTTGGAGGATCAAAGCTTTAGTAATATGTAGTTGAGGTATTATATGTAAGACTCTCTCTCCTACAAACTACAACAATCAGCATCTGAACATTTAAGTTGGACACAGATCCAGTAATTAATCACTACTTTGGAAAAAAGAAAGAGAATTGTATGTATTACTCAAATTTCAAAATAGATCTCTATTTCTGTGGCGAAAGTGATTTAATGATATTAACCACTGACTCATGTGGCTCACGAACACAGCAAGCTAGTAGTTCAGAGATGAAATACAGAATTTCATTAATATGAAGGTGACCAAGGTAATTCAGTTGGGAGAATCAAATAATCATACAGAATTAGGGCTGGAAGGGACCTTGAGAGGTCATTTAATCTAACCCCTGGCCTGAAGCAGGATCATCCCTAGCCAAATCATTCCATACAAATCCATTGTTTAACCTCTTAGCGAAACTACAGCGTCAACCCTGACACAACGTTAGACATAACACCTAATCGGCCAGAGATAAAGCAGAAGGTCCATGGTGGCCAACATCCTGCTGCTGAAAAGGTCACTAAAAGTATGCTCAAGAGATCCCAGGAAGAGGGCCATGTCCCCTGCTACAGAGGCAGGCAAAAACCTCCAAAGTCTGTACCAGTCTGATCATTATGTAAAACTTCTTCCTTACCCCAGTTATGGCAATTGTTCTGACCCTGAGCACAGGGGAAAGACCCTTTAGCCAGCAACTTCCAGCTGTACGTCTCAGGAGGAGCATTGGCACACCCCAGCCTTGGCCAGCACTCGGTGCTTCTGAGGAAAGCAAAAGAAAACCCACCCCAAAAAGAAACAAACCCTGGAGTATAGCAACAGGAGGGGAAAAAAAAATTCCTGGCCTCATTTAGTAACCGGCAAAGCCTAAGACCATGGGAAATACCCATAGTAAAGCACAGGCATAGCTACTTCTAGATCATCCCTGACCAGTGCTTGTCCAACCTCTTGTTGAACGCCTCCAACAATGGAAATCCTCTAACACTGAAGAAATGTTTCCTCATGTCTGATCTAAACCTATTTTGCTGCAAATTCATGCCACTGATCTGTGTTCCACTCTGCAGCAAGAGAGAAAAGGTGTTTTCTTTCTTCTTTATGGCAGCCCTTCAGGTATTTCAAGACTGCTGTCATTTCTTCAGTTCCTTTTCTGCAAGCTGAACATGTCTGTTTCCTTCAGCTTCTCCTTGTATGATTTGCCTTCCAAGCTCCTTTTGTTGCCCAGCTTCGGGCCCTTCTGTTGATTCACCCCAAAACTGCATTTGCCCTTTTGTGCATCTGCATTGCACCTGGGACTTGTGCTGAGTTTGTGGTCCACCAGGACTCTTAGATCTTTCTCTGTAGTGCTGCCATCCAGCAGGTGTCACCCATTTAGTATTTGTATTTTTTATTATTTTTTCTAAAACATAGTACCTTGATTTTCCAAGCATTGAATTTCACCTTGTTAACTCCAGCCTAGCTGTCCAATCCGTCAGGATCCTTCTGAGTTGCTTTCTCATCCTCCAATGTGTTTGCTGTCCTTCCCAGTCCATGTCATCTGCCAACTTGCTCAAGATGCTTTCTGTTCCAGCATCCATATCACTAATGCATTAAACAGGACTGGGCACAGGGCAGACTCATAGAAAATCATAGAAAATGAGGGTCGGAAGGGACCTCTGGAGGTAGGTCATCTAGTCCGGCTCCTGTGGGACTCCACTTGAAACCTCCTGTCATTCTCACATTAATCCATTTATAATTGTCCTTTGCTTGCCTCTTCCAAGCCAGTTGTCTATCCATCTTACAGTAATTTTGTCTAACTCACATTTCTCCAATTTATTAATGAAAAGGTCATGTGAGACCTTGTCAAAAGCCTTGCTGAAATCCAGATACGCTATATTCACTATATACACATTGGCCTCATTCACCAAAATAGTAACTTTGTCAAAGAAAGAAATTAAGTTTGTTTGACACAACTTGTTCTCAGTAAATCTATGCTTGGCTGCTTGTGATCAGCCTTTCCTCATCCAGATGCTTGCAAATGGACTTCCTTAGGATACACTCCATTAGCTTCACAAGTATTGGGGTGAGACTAAGCCATCAGAAGTCCTCTGGGTCCTCCCTTCTGCTTTTTTAAAGAGGGTGCTGTGTTGGCCCTTTTCCAGTTCCCTGATGCCTTGCCCATCTTCCACAACTTGATGAATATTACTGCCATGGGCTCCACAATCTCCTCTACTAGTTCCTTCAGTATCCTGGAATGAAGTTAATCAGGCTTTTCAAAAGCTCTCTGACTGTCTCTTATTATCTCATCCCTTTGCTTGTTCCCTTTCTTATACAGACAGTCTTTATTAATCATCTGGTTTCAGCCTAATTTTTTTGTGAAGACTGAGGCAATGTTGCTGTTGAGTATCTCTGCCTTGTGTGTCTTTTGTTAAAAGTTTGCCCGGGCTATTTAGTAGTGGACCCACAGCTTCCTTGGTCTTTCTTTTCTGCCTAATATATTTATAGAACCTCTTCTTGTTGTCTTTAATCTCCCTCACCAGATACAGCTCATTCTTTATCTTTGCCTTCCTGATTTGCCTTGTCCCTGCAGGTTCTTGCTATTTTCTGCTATGCTACATTTTGGTTAGTAGCAAACTAAAGAGTGAAAGAGAGAACAATGGTTTAATACTAACATGTTTAAATCATGCTGTTTTTTGCAACAAGGTAGGCTAGCAGCAAATGCCAGGATGCTTTATCCTAGGTGAATGAAATTCGTTAGTTATTCCTGAAATTACAACATTGAAATTGCACTGATCCCACAACACAACAGAGTATCTTACTAACCATTTGTTCCCTCTACTGAGGATAGAAATTACCCTACTACCTCATTTTACCATGACAAGGTCATTGTTGGCAAGTGTAATAGCAGCCACTACTTTAAAATTTTCAGAATGTTGTTGTTAAGAAAATGTAGCATTACCCTACCAGGAGGAGAGCTTTCTGTAACCTGAAAAATCAGAGACTCCATGAAGTCCACTAGGGCCTTTGCCAATCTACATGGCAGACATTTCCAATGGTATACAGACAGTAGTAGCACAATGCCATGCAACAGGAAAAATCATTGTTATGTCCAAGACACTGTACTGCTAACTGTACTTGAATATTGTTACAACCCAAAGTCTCTTTGCAGTTGTAAGAATACATTCACATACATGTACACAAGGATTGTGTGCTTTAGAGGATTCTTTATTTAATCAAGAATGCTCTCAAGGAAGTGTAGGTTGCTTTCATTTTTAATGTATTATAACAAAGCAAGAATCCAGCTGCCACGTAGGAAGTAATTTGAAATAGTATTTGATTCAGGTGAACTGGAACAGAGGAGCAGAATTATCTGGTGCATCAGTCAAATTCAGTTTTAAGCCAGGAAGAATTTTAAGCAAGGAATAATTCACCACAAATTGGAGATTTTAAGTCCAGCTAGATATGCAACGTCCAATCAGATTCTGGTATTTAAAAAAAAAGTAATTTGTATTTCAGTGCTGATGCTGTAATTAAACATGTACAACTGAAGTCTCCCAAGGGAAAAATGGACCATGAAGTTCATAGAGAACACTGACGGATTTGAGTTAAATAATAATCTGATAGATAAAGGAGAAATGAGTAAAACTGGATGAGTTTTTCCAGTCAAAAGTAAAGGTGGTTTTAGTTGAAAACATATTTCCCATTTTTTTCAAATGTTGAAATGTTTTAATTGACCTGAATTTAAAAAATTAAAAAAGAATTGAACACCTAGAAATAAACCATTTTGTTTTAGTTCAAGTTCATCTTGAGTGGATTTTTTTTGCCTTGGTGGGGAAAAAAACCCACAGGCTCTCATTTCAGGTCAACTTGAACAAAATTCTTTTAATTTTTCAGTTCAGTCTCTCAGTGTATCAACCACTGAACTGAATAATCCACTATTCTCACAACTCTAGAAACACGGAGTTTCTTTAGACTCTGAATTAAGATTTGAATGTGAATACATTTTTCCTAGCAATTTCTGGGACACTTGACTTAACTGTCTAGAATGAGAATACTGTTTGGTCATTACAATTATAACTCGTATGTGATGTGATCCTGTATCATAAACTTCTCCAGTTTAGTTAAAATTCAAGCAATGGCTGCATTTAATATTAGGATGAATAGAAGGAAAGTATCCAAAATGAAGTGTTAAGTGAGCTCAGAGTTGCCTGTAACTTGACTACATGTAAATTATGTAAATCTGGGATTCAAGGGCAATATTTGTTGCATAGTCTATACCTGTTCTTATTCCCAGGCCTACAGTATTTTTCAATTGAAACTCAATCCAGGGTTTTCAATTGATTAGCTACACTGAATCCAGCTGGACTATTTTAAAAAACAAATTGTTTATTACACAAAGATTACGTTTGTATTATATGCAACACTTGCAATTGAGGTTAAAATGCATATGGAATTTGCCTTTAAAATACAAACAGTACTGCTTCCTTTATTAATCTGTTATTATCTGTAACCTTTTCAAACAAAGGCAGCTAGAGGTATGAGTCCCTAGTGATAGAGATGCTGCCTTTCCCTAGGATGTTGTGAAAATCTGTTTGCCGTGGAAACATTCACACCATACAAGAATAGACACATGTACATTTACAAGGGGAATTCTTTTGAGTTTTAGTGATTTGAAGAAAACCTGAAAGAACAAAGACCTGCCCCTGCCAAGTGCTCCCTCGACACACACACAGATTTTGTTTCTTTAGTAACAGTCCTTCCACTCTCTCTCAGACCTGTAGCTTTTACATTTGCTCCACTTCTAAAAATGTCTCTCTCCCAGAAGTGAGTTTGAAAAATGAGGGAAAA